AAAAGGGACCATAATTTTTACAACCCCCCATATAGGAAGTCCCAGTTTGCGAACGCGCCTGGAGCTGCTTCAGGGCTTGTTTCGTAATCTTTGCTGGGCGTGAGTAGGGAATGAAGCAGTGGAAGTAACATCGAATAAGCTATGTTATGTCGGATTTTGCATGGCCACGAACTTAAGTTTTGGAGCCAGCGTGTTATACTGTCCGATTCAAAAGATACTTCTCACCAGATGCCGCCTGGTTTGCAAGACGTCTAAAGCTGTGCCCTTTGACCAAGAGGTCATAGGAAGTACCGCTGAACCCTAAGAAGCCCAGTCTAGTGGTACCCTGAAGCCTCCAAACCCTAAACCCCAGGAAGCCCAGTGGTACCCTGAACTTCAGAAGTTCTCAGATCCTGAAACTTTTTGACCCTGGTGCTGGACGCCTGAGGATGGTGGCCCGGAGGAGTCCCAGGTGCAGCCTAAGGAGCCAACTGGTTTGGGGTTCAGGGTTTAGGGTGGGGAAGGGGGATGCTAAACCTTTTAGTCCCCTGACCCGCTATCAGTGGCATAACATGAGTGTTGGCGTACCTTGTACACTAATAGGAACAGATCTTCGCAAAACTGAGTTTCTTTTGGGTAGGTCTCCATGTTGATGGAAACTCTTGTATGATTATTATATGAGCTTCTTAAGAGAAGCAGGAGATGAAGTATCCGCCCATCCCAGTCGCCGATCTTGTGGTTGGAGACAAGTACACAGGCAAGGCCTGCTGGTCATTTGGGTTGTAGTTCAGGGTTTAGGGTTTAGGGAGTTGTGAGGATATGCAGGGGTCATGTAGGGTTTAGGAGAACATGGCTGGAGATCGTGTAGCCGGCCAAAACTTCGAAGAACCTATGATATGCCTTAGGAGGAACCCCGAGCCTGGCAGTGCTACGGGCGCAAAGAGTCCAGCTACCCCCAGATATGATATATATGTATATATATATATATATGGGGATTTCCCAAAACTAAGGGTACTTTTTAGGGGTCCTCATTATAGGGACTATAGTATATTTGGGTCTAAATTGGGGTCCCCCTATTTTGAAACTACCATACATATATATATACATATATATACCCTCTACATCGAGGGTGTATATGGTAACTGAGGCCGAATGGTCCAGGTAATCATACGGTAGCTTCTCAAAACGGTGGCTTTTTTTTGGAGTTCCTTAGTATGATACGCCCCTGACAATAATCGCTTCCGCGTACTGATAAACGTCTGCCCCCCTCCCCTAATTAAAACACACTGGGGTATTCTTATTGGGGTGGGTTTATTGCAATGAATTATAGGGGGTAAGGACCTGTTTAGACAGAAAATAACAACAGGTGAAATCTAATCAACCTCAGACTAGTGCTCCTTATAGAAATCAATAAAATGGTTCATGAAAACGCGGAGCCCTTTTGAAAGCAGCCTTCCGGAAATTTCTGGAAGTGGGGATGTTCAGGGAGTGTTCATTATTAGGGTGAAGAGATTATTGTGCCTAATCAAATAGGGACCATGACCTTGACAATGCTAATATGCCATACACTTAACACCGAAAGTTGAGGGCTTGGCGCGCAGGATTCAGGGCTTGGGGTTTAAGGTTTACTTAGACCCCAAAGTGCCTACATGGGAACCTGTCTGGGTTCCAAGTATATACTATGTGGTACTTTCCCAAAATAAGGGGACCCCAATATAGACCCCAAAATACTAGAATCCTTAATATTGGGACCCCTACAAAGGTACCCCTAATTTTGGGAAACCCCCATGTAGGTACCCAAGCTATCTGGGACAGGTACAATCAAGACGGTGTTGGACTTCGGAGCCTTCGTCGACATCGGTGCAGAGGGTGACGGTCTTCTCCATATCTCCAGGCAGTCTCCGCTTGGGGCCGGGAATTTGGGTTTGCCCAGCGCTTGGGTACGGCCACCACTCTGTAACAGTTGGTAATATTCGTGGTATATATATATATGTATATATGTATATGTATGTATATATATATATACATATAGCCCTTGAAATGACCCCTGGTTTAGACTGTTACAGGGCGGGGGCAATACCCAACTTAGAAGAGTAAGAGTTGTAGCATGCCTCGTGTTTAGCATATCACATGGATTGGATAGTGTTTCTGTGTGTTTTTATCGGAAGTAGGGCCTGCGTACAAACCCAGAAGTATTGCGGTCCACGTGACAAGGCACAAGACAACCAACGGCAGACCCATGAGAAATTGAGGGAACTCCATGACATTCCTGACTTTGGCTATCCTTGGTGGGTGAGGATTTCCCTATGCTGTAGGCCCTGCGGGGCCCAGCCAGTGGGGCTGGATTGGGGCCTTGGGATTGCAGCTTTGCTTTGCAACCTTTGTGACAGAGCCTCCACTGGACCAAGCAGGTGCGTGCATTCTCCAGTAAACGTAGAGGCCTATTACTGCAGTAGGGTTTTGGGGCACGTGCGCAAGGATTATATTGCGGGGGAGGGCGAGAGTTACAAAGTGCACTTTGGGGTTATGACTGGCCTCCGTCCCTCATGAAGGCTCCATCCCATACTTTTACTTGTAGGTTTGTTATGGCGTCTCCCAACCACCGTATGTGGCTTTCCCTCCATGATCGTTAATTCACCCTATATAAGCCTAATCAAAAGCCTAATTGAGGGTGAAAGACCATACGGAGGGGGCGGCTAGGTAATCTTTAGTTTAGGATAGTTCGTGACCTATACATAACGCTTAGCATGACCGAAGTATATGCCTGCAATGGCTGGAACATTACTATAACTACAGTTATGATTCGGTTATAGTCCCTGAACCTCGGGGTAGAACCTCTGAAAAACGCAGTGCTGGAGGATCTCGCAGGAACGAATCGAGGACATCTACAGCGCCGTTCACGAGGGCCAAGAGGTAGAGGCTTCTCCTTCTGATTTTGGACAAGCTCTGCCAGTGGTTCCTGGTACATAGTAGTTTCCCAGAAGGAGGTCCTCAAAAGTTTTTGTTTTCATGTAAGTAACAGCCAATATTTCCCAAATGAGTGATAGACATGAGCTAATCTCAGCATTGGGGTTCGAACGGGACGGGACCATTAGGGGTGGAAAGAGGGAGCGCCTTGGTAATTTAGTAGAGTCCCGAATAATGCTGACTGTAGCTCACATGGGTTCCTGTTAGAGTCTACTTAACTACCAAAGGGGCCCCGATGTCAGTGATTCAGGGTTTAGGGTTTAGGGAGGCCTAAACCCGAAAACCTAAACCCTCAACCCTAAACCCGTGATTCCCTTGCAAGCCGTGGATCATCTTGAGGTAGAGAGAGACAGCCGGCAGCCACATGGAAGTCCCAAAATCACAAACCCCAAGTCCTCCAACGTAACTCTAGGGCTCATGGTTTAGGGTTTAGGATTTAGAGTTTAGGGTTGAGGATTTAGGGTTAAGGGTTGGGGATTTGGGGTTTGGGGTTGAGACTCAGAGAATTTCATTTCTTGTCACGTGAATGCCTTGATGGTTGGTAATCCTGTTGCTTCATACTCCCCGAATTGCCCTTACATGACTCCTTACTTGTGCAGGTCCAAGACATATAGGTGACTGTTGGGCCAACATACGAGGCTTCAAGATAAAGGATTTGGGTAACACTCCGATTAAGCACAAAAGCTGTGCCACTGCACCAAGATGGCGGTCCTTCCACATAGGGTTGATGTGTGCTTGCACACTACGCAGCTCAGGGGGGTCAACATCCCTTAGATGTAGAGCTGCTATCTCCCTGCACATCCTGATGCAGCGTGTCTACAAATTTGCGAGCGACGTGAAGAAGGCTTCCATGGCAATCCTGCACCCTTTGCTCTACACCTTCAGCCTCCAGTCAGTCCCACCCAACAAAGGCGGTAGACTGGAATATCTAGGGCCTAGGGACCCGAATATGTACTTACCCTCATTCTTTGTCATGAGTTAGTGTGTGGGGGCCCAACTGGACTGAAGCATATAACTCTGACTTCCGGGCAGAGGGTCAAAACACCTGGGGCCCGCGGCAAATTCTAGGGCCTTACTCCACCTGATGGTTGTGGCAAACAGCTCCAAAAAGATGGGTCATACATAGGGGTCTTTGTTTCATAATACATTGCAAGCATTCTAATCCCGATCCCATGTGTTGGGGAACCCTGACTTTTTGGAGCACCCCTGTGTGGTCGTAATTCTTCCAGGTTTTGGAGGGGTATAATCTTCATAGAGCTTAAGCCCTAAACCCTAAACCCTAAACCCAACCTACTTCATAGAGCTTAAGTAATGCCAACCCTACACCCTAAGCCTAAACACAGATCCTAGACAGCTATGTGAGGTTTGGGTGGCATCGAAGCAGGAGAGGGTGCTGGGGATTGAGGAATTTTGGAAGTTTGTCTATGGTTTAGGGTTTTGGATTTAAGGTTATACGAACCAGAGAGTATGCAGAATAGTGGCTTGATGGCCGTTTGTTGGGGTATTCGGAAGATCATTTGTCTACTTTGTGGTTCCAGCTAGGAGTGATAGAGTGGGGTAACCGAATTTTGCGATTAGGAATAAGAGATGTGAGTTTCAGGTGTGAAGGTCCAGGATTTCGAGTTTTGGGCATCAATAGGCTTTCGACATTTCAGGTGGAGGATTTCCGCGAGTTGGGTTTCAGGGCTTGTGGGTCTAAGGTTTCAGGGACATACGGTTTCAGGGTTTGGGGTTCAGGATTCGGGTGTAGGACCCATAACTTTGGGACGTGGGCCATAGTCGATGGTCTTTAGGACTGAGGGGCTTTAGTTCCATCCTTCAGTGTCTAGCGATTAGGGGCTCAGGATTTAGGATGTTGAGTTTAGGGTTCAAGACGTCGTGCTCGGGTTGTACTGCGTACAGACTTGAGAGCTCACAGGGCAGCATTCCCAGTTTAGGGTTTACGCGTTTAGGGTTTAGGGTGCACTTGTGCGACTTACGGTGTAAGTCTTGGGGCACGGGCTTGGGCGTATTGGGAGTTTGAGCGTATGGCTATAGGCTTCCTTTCCTCAAACAACTCGCGGGCATATCAAGTTAACGCAAGGAAAGTTGAGGACGGCTGCTAAGCCTAGAGAACCAAAAGCTGTAGAACTGTATGACTTGTTTTGGGAGTTCCCAGGGGCCTAATCTTGATGTAGTCCGCACGGCGGGTAGTTTTGGCCCTTTACTAGATTGTTACTGCAGAACTGAATCTACAGCGGCTCCTAAAGTGAAGGTCCATAGCAGCAACCCAGTTCAGGGCATTCTGCAGGGATCCTGTCTAAGAAAGCGGCCTGGCACCCAGTACCTGGAGCAACAGACCATGAGGGTTTAGGGTTTAGGGCTTAGGGAATCAACAACGATCGAAAATTGTGTGGACACTGGGTTAAGATGGTGGTTCCTACAGCGGGTGAAGGTCTGGCCTAGATAATTAGAATGGAGTGGGGGGGTCATGATCTGAAGGGCTGTGAGGACCTGATACTTGGGGAGGGAGTTAGCAGCGGAATCCACGAAAGGTTGCCGGGATGATCTAAGATTTAGGGCTTAGGGTTTACCTGGACCCTGGATGTCCTACCTTTCCCTAGGGCTCCCAGTTCTCTACATAGAAGGTTACTGGGCTATGTAACTACAAAGTGAGGTTTAGGGTTTAGGGTATATTATAGGGATAATCCAGAGTTCAGGGTTTAGGGTTCAGAGTTTACCTGGACCCTGGATGTCCTACCTTGCCTTGGGCCCCCAGTTGCCTAAATAGTAGGTTACTGGGCTATGTAAGTCTGGGGTACATAGAACCCAGAACTCATTGTCTAGGTAACTGGCGCCCTGAGGTCTGTGAGAGCTCCACAAGGCATTGATTCTGACACTCACCGTTAGACTTCAGAATTTTGAGCGGTTTGCCCAGCGTGTCTGGTTCCTTCTGGGGGAGTGTACTACTTGACATTATTCTTCAGATTCCTTATTGGTTTTTGGCTTAAAGAAAACTGAGCACTGCTGCAGAGTTTGACCCAACAGGTGTAATCCATGGCCCCCGGGAGCTCGCATGCAAAGTGGCAAGTTAGGAGGGTCATTGTGACTTAGTAAGTCGGTTAATAACCCTTATAAACCATATAATAACCCTAATTATCCCCAGTATTGAATTACTTGCTAAGTCCCCATGACCCTCCGAGCAGAATCAACAGTCGAGTCCAGCATTGCGCCCCTACACCAGACTTAAATCTTCACTGCAAGCTTCATGGTGCTGAGAAGCGGGGTGGAAAGAAAGATAAGGATGGTTTGTAACTCTATTAGCGTAGGTTTATTGTTTAGGGGTCCTTGCACAGCTACTAGATACCCTTGATTTTCCACTCCACGCATCGCAAGTAACACATACGAGAAACTATGCTGCAGCGTCCAATTAGGTACATGGCCCATCCTCCCTGATGAGATTCCTGTAGTCCAGCTGTACACGATGCTTTACCATTGGGGTCCACCCCCAGAATACTACAACCCTACAAAACCGCGAACACAACTAAATAACGTTGTCCAACAATGCTAGGTACTTGGAGGGCAAGGGTCAGTTGGTAAGTAGATGGGGTTATAATCCGGCTTATGCTTACAGTCCGTACCGAAGGCCTCCAGAATTCTTGGATACCTGTTTGGGGTTTGTCTACAACAAGGGCTTTCATTTTTGCTTTCCAAACTCGCCCCCAAACTTTCAACCCAACCTCTTCAACCCGAAACCCTAAACCCGTTTAGGGGGTTTAGGGGGTTTAGGGTTTAGGGGGTTTAGGGTTCAGGGAGGTTTAGGATTTAGGCCTTAGGGCCCTTAGGGCTATTACATTGCAGGATGACGGCAAGTTTGGCCTGACAATGGTTCCTTGGCAAATGTTAGCGTCCTCCACAAGGACGGGGTTTAGGGCTCAGGGTGTCATG